CTGTCTTTTCATGGGCTGATTCTGTGAGAACAGCACCATCTACAGGCCTGGCATATGTACTACAGCGTCTCCAGCGCTTTCGAACGGCAATGTCCGTGGCTGTCTCCTCCTGATTGGTGGAGTTGGCCCAATAGCCGTAGCGCCACTTCTGTGACGTCACAGAAGTGTTCAAATCTGGATCAGTCAGTATCAGATCCGTTGCAGCCCCTTTTTAAGAGATTTGGGTATGGAGGAAAATAGAGAGGGTTGAGTTCCCTGGAACACCGGGGACACATATATAGGTTTTCATATAAAACAGACAAACCCCAAAAAGCCAATAAAAGTAGTGTGTCCTCCTTGTCAAGTTTAGTAACAATATATGGTAAATGAGACATGTTTCAATAAAGAAAATGCTGAATTTTCACAACAACATTCATATAAAGTAGAAACTGAAATATGAATATTATAATGACCCCAGTTACGCTCCACCCCTCCTTACCCACAGAGGAAGAGTCCTCCACAGAACATGTAGGTGAGCAGCCCGGAGGAGTGATGCACCTGGGAGAGGACCGTCTGATGGCACTGAGGACAGGACACCTGGACCGGACCGTCTCCAAACGAACCGACTGCCACTGCACAGCATGAGGAGGGAGGAGAAGTGAAGTACAACAGACCACATGGGTTGCTCTTCAATATAAAAAAAGCTCTATTATCCCGTAACTTTTTTTTTGAAATTCTAACTCTTTTCACCACTTTTTTTTTTCAAGGATTCAAGGCTTTTATTGTCAACATAGCTACAGTGTAGTTATAACAATGCAAATCCTGTGACCTAAGATTTTCATTGTCATACTACACTGTACAGTAGATATGTACAAATGAAAATAAAAGCCTTGAGCGTGTCACAAAACGTTGATAAGAGTTAGAATTTCTAAAAAAGTTACAGGATATTAGAGCTTTTTAATAATGAGGAGCAACCCATGTGTTCTGTCGTACAGACGGTATAGACTCACCCACTGGTGTTTGTGCATTTGCCATAGTTCCTGTAAATAAATCGTATCAAACATTTAGGTAACTAGGGCTGCAACATGTATACTTTTTAATTATTTAGTAAATGATTGTAGTGATCACAAATGCATCATATATCAGAATCAGATTATACTTATTGTCATTATTCTCAGACACAAACAATGTCATAGGCTTCTCTCAATGCAGTTAAAGAAATAGGAATCAAATAAGTAGTGATAAAAGCAGTGGTAGCAGCATAGAGAAGGCCCCAATTATATTAGATTAAAATTAATTAAATGTATTTAAATACTTTACAGAACTACAGCATATGGCTGGGTGTTCCTAAATAGATGTCATCAATATAAGTAATCATACATCTTTGAAATATTTCAACCTTTGGTTATTGACCGCCTCTATTTTGACAGAATAGGCATTATTTGAACAGTTTGAACATATTTTTTTTCAGTTTGGGAGGTACTTTTAATCAGGTGGTTTTGTTTGTGTGCAGGAACATTTTTGATTCCTAGAATATATTCTCAAATCTGTAATAGGTCAAAGAAATCTCACTATGTGACTCGTGTGAGTATCATTAACCATGCAAGTATCAAAACGTACACACATACAGTATGGAATTAAACATTGTTGCTTGTTATAGTGCAACAAAGTTCACACTGTAACGCGGACAAATATCTTACAGATAGCTTCAAATCCTGTAAATACTATCAGTTAAACAAATGAACAGTTTTGAAATAAAGCAGAGTACTTACAGTCGTTGTAGAGTAAAGTCTGACTCCAGAGTTTTCCCCACCGTCGGCAACACCTCCTTCTCTTCCCCTGAAGTCATGAGATTGCTGAATTGCCTCCTGTGTGAGCTTCTCTGACCCAACCCTGCCACAAATCAAATGAGCGAGGAAATACTCTTATAACAACAATCATAGATTTCCTATTTCCCACATCTGTGCATGAGAGGAAATCTCTTACATGCTAACCTTTCACATGGTATCGTTTTTTTGCAACAGTATATTTTTAACACATGCCAACAAAAAACCACATACATATGTTTTAGGTTAATTTGATTTCTTAAATCTCGACAGTTATTTCCTCATGATAGAAATAGAGATCGGTGCAGATGACCTCCTCAAATGGAAATAAACAACTACCATCTGTTAAAGTCAAATACATACTGATTAACAACAAGGCACTTCATCACATAAGAAAGTAGTAAAAGCTATTTTTAAGAATGAAGGAACATAAGATGTATAAGTATCTGGTCAACTTGAAAACATTTACAACATCCCTGTGTCTGAGAGACTTGCAGTGCATGGAACTAAAGACGAATACCTCTCCATTCAGACTGAAATGAGCCGCACATGACTTCTACTGCTCCAAATTAAATCTGACATTTAACTCTTGGCTGAACACAGCGCTACGGGATTTCCCTTCAGCACCAAGGACATGCCTTCATACAAACATAAATCTATTTTTTTTAAAAGGCCAAGAATATATTATATCTTTTTTAAAGGTTTTGGTGATTTCTTGAAAGACTTGGCATCGTTGTTTTTATCAAACACTGTCAAATAGACGTAAATGACACATTATTGGGAGTTGTTTTAAAGCTCCCATGTCATGGCCATTTCTACTGATCATAATTCCATTGTTGAGGTCTACTAGAATAGATTTACATTGTTCAATGTTCCAAATTCACATTGGTTTCTCATACAGCATCTCTATATTATGTGTATTCACTCTCTGTCCTACACGGCTTGTTGGAGCTCCTGCCCCCCCCCTATGAGCCCAGTGTGCTCTGATTGGTCAGCTCGCCCACTCTGTTCTGATGAGTCCACCACCGTTACAGCTGAACATCAGTGATTATGTCTTACAATGGCGTTTGTTAGCAACCAGAAAATGACACCAGTAATGACAAACAGATGAGAATGCTGCGTGGGGTCTGGGTGCCATGTTGGCACGTAACGACTCCGCGGATTGGTCACTTTACCCAGGAAGGAAAAAATGGAAAATGAAAAATCTACTTAAAGTGTCAAAAGTTAACACAAAATGTGTAAAAGTTGGTAAAAGTATACAATAAACAATTAAATTGGTAATATGTGCTTTGCATGCACAAGGACTGCATATGGAAATGAAATGAAGCTCAGCGCAAGTTCTTTCAGGAAGACTGGTATACATTCACTCCACAGCGGCATATAATCAGCTCATCACGGGCTTTCTTTTAACCTTTCACATTTCACCTCAATCTCCAGCAGCCAATCACCATGCTGCAGCCTAACTCCTCTCTCCTGCAGTCAGCTGTGATTTCAGGTTTTCATGCTGCCGCCCGCCTCCTCCCCATCCACCTCCTCTCATCATATCCAGTGCCAGGAGAGTTAATCCAAAAACCTCATCACACCTCCTCTTCATCCCATCTCCTAATCAAATCCAGATCTTCAGCAAACTCACCAGTGTCTAGACCCCGGGGGGGTTCCCTATATGCTCACGGCTGCATTTCCCCCTTTAGATATACGATTTCAGGATCGCCCAAGACTTAACATTTATGGCATGTGTCAATAAATGTTCTTTAAACAAAATGAAGTCTCTCCTGATTGAACTAACATTTGGAATAAAGCTTCGTTTCCCTTTGAGATTAATGTATATTTATGCATGGCCCATGTTTACATTTAAATTGTCGCGTTACTGAAGGAACATCGATGCAATCTTTACTTCATAGTGCTTCTTATGTATTCAGTAAGAAGCAACTGATAAAACAAAGAAATGCATGAATGTAATATCACATACTGTATGTGAGCAGAGGAGATTTCGATTTTTTCACGATGACATTTTTTGCCGAAACCTTAATTCCTATATATCAACAACAGGACGACTTTTAGATGAAAGATGATTATTTTTTAATCAGTAAAAACAGGTGCAATATTTCACATGTAAACAATTGCAGCATCTCATTCTTAATACCTGAATAGTTACAAAGAAATTATATTTTTATTGACACAAGGATTCCTGTAAAAATAGATCAGTTTAACAAAACAACGATATCGCCTTCAAATAAAAAAAAGATCGTCTTTGCAAATCATTTCAAGTGCTCTAAGGCTAACCAACAGATGGGTTAGCAGGCGCCACATCTTCAGTATTAAATCATTATCAGCTTCATTAACAGCCCTCTGTCCCTGCAGCCAGACTATACACAACAACCAGAAACTACTGAAGTAGTGAGTAGAAGAACTGAAGGAAAAGGTATTGTCTCTGTGCGTAGCAGCTAGTAAGTTAATGGCATTTAAATTGACCTCCGTAATATTCCCTACTGAATCTTCAACATGTTATGTTAACCGTTTGTAGTGATAGTTTTGTGCATAATATAATTTTCCACTTTATTGATTACAGTCATGTCAGGGGTTACGTTGCATTTCCCCCTGAACCATGTCAAACTACACGCACGAAGCTTCCTATGCCTTACGGTCTGTTATATGTAGGCTTCTGAAGTGTCGAGTCTTTAGTGTCACATTCATCTCGAGTAAGGCAAAACAAAACTGTGTTAAATTAGAGAAACAGAGAGTTGATTATATCATGACTGTTGTTCTGATGGAATCAGTCCTGTGGAAAAGTTCATTATACTGAATTAACCATGTAAGCTGTATAGATAGATATATATATATATCAGATTTAACTTGTTATTGGCAGCCCTGCTCTTTTTCTGAGACGTGGCCATTGTTTTAGTAATTCTTTTATATGCAAAGTACACTGAACAAAAATATAAATGCAACACTTTTGTTTTTGCTCCCATTTTTCATGAGATGAACTCAAAGATCTAAAACATTTTCTATATACACAAAATAACCATTTCTCTCAAATATTGTTCACAAATCTGAAAAGATCTGTGATAGTGAGCACTTCTCCTTTGCCGAGATAATCCATCCCACCTCACAGGTGTGGCATATCAAGATGCTGATTAGACAGCATGGTTATTGCACAGGTGTGCCTTAGGCTGGCCACAATAAAAGGCCACTCTG